ACTTCCTAATTCTTATCACAGTCCTAGATGAGCACTTGGTCTGTGCCAGTGCTGCTAATTTTTAACCTCCCTGCTTCATTGGAAATCAGCAGGCTTTCAATTCCAATTTTCCATGTCTGGGCAACTGGAATACATAACTTGTTTTATGATTAATCCAAAAAATCATCTTGTTTTATTTAGGACGGAAACTGTTGCTGTTAAATTAAACTCTGACTTGCCTGTGCCTTGACTGGGAACTATTTCACTTAGTTCCTGTCTTGCTTGAGGTCATAAGCACTTCCTGCTTAGCTCAAATGTGGAAGTGTCCCGGTTCTATTTGAAACTTGCCCTGCATTTGTCCTATAACTAGATCCAGAAGTCCTACTGATTTTTGTTTGTATTGATCAATGGAGTTTTGTAGGAAAACTGATCAATTAGTCAAAGCTAGTCTCATCAGAAGGGTGTGGATAAAAGCCATGCTCTCTGGAGCAACAGAATTTAAGCTGATGCTTCAGTGCAGTGCTGTTTGAGTGCTGCACTTAGAGGTTTTTTCAGGTGAGGCATTAAAATGAAGCTCTGAATGGCTGCAAGGTTGGGTGCAAACTGTGCCTTGCTACTGTGAAAATGGGCTGGAGAGTCATACAGCACACCCTTTGGTCTAACTCGTTCGCATCAACAATCTGACTTAGCCCCATTTTACCAGCATTTGTCCTGTTTCCCTCTTAAACCCTTCCTGTTCATGTACCCGTCAAAATGCCTTTTTAAATGTGTGTACCCATCTCCACCATCTCCTCTAGCAACTCATTCCATACACTCCTCACCTTCTGTGTGGAAAAAGTAACCCCTCAGGTCCTCCTTTTTAAATCTTTCCCCTCTCACCTTCAACCTATGCCCTCTGGGTTTGGACTCTTCCCAGCCCCCCACCTTAGGAAAAAGACTTTGGCTATTCACCCTAACCATGCCTCTCATGATTTTATAAGCTTCTATAAGATCATTCCTCCATCTGATGCTCCCGGGGAGAAAAGCCCCAGCCTATTCAGCCTCCCCCATAACTCAGACCCTCCAGTCCTGCAAATATTCTTAAATCTTTTTTGCACCCTGTCCAGTTTAACAACAACTCTTCTCTGGAAGAGCAACCGGAATTGTACACTATTCTAAAAGTGGCTGACCAATGTCCCGTACACATGCAATGTGATGTTCCAACTCCCATACCCATGTTATGACCAATGAAGGCAAGCATGCCAAACTCCACCTTCACCAGCCTGTCAACCTGTGACTCCACTTTCAAGGAATTGTGCACCTGCACGTCCAGGTCCCTTTGTTCAGCGACACTCCCCAGGGCCCTACCATGAAGTGTACAATCCTGCCCTGGTTTGCCTTAGCAAAATGCAGCACCTCACTTCATCTAAATTAAACTCCATCTGCCACTCCTTGGCCCAGCAGCCCATCTGATCAAGGTCCCTTTTTTGTACTAGTAGAAAATCTTGTTCACTGTCTGCTATACTACCTATTTTGGTGTTTTTTGTAAACTTACTAACTATTCCTTCTGTATTCACATCCAAATCATTTATGCAAATGACAAAAAGCAGTGGACCCAGCACTGATTACTTGTAGTACACCTCTGGTCATAGGTCTCCAATTCAAAAAGCAACCCTTTACCACCACCCTCTGGGCTCTTACCATCGAGCCGCTTTTGTATCCAATTGGCTGGCTAGCTCCCCTAGATCCCATGAGATCTAACGTTACTTAGTCTATCATGTGCATGGTGGCTCAGTGGTTAGCACTGCAGCCTCACAGCACCAGAGACTTGAGTTTGACTCCACCCTTGAGCGACTGTGTGCAAATTCCACACAAACACATTCTTGCAGTGTTTTTATGTTCGTTCCCACAGCCCGAAGATGTGCAGGTTAGCTGGACTGGCCATGCTAAATTGCCCAGAGTGTCAAAGGATATGCAGGGTAGGTGGGTTAGCTACGGGAATTGCAGGGTTACAGGGATGGGGTGAGGGGGGGAGGTGAGTCTAGGTCGGATGTTCTTAAGAGCGTCATTGTGGACTCCGTTGGCCGAATGGCTTGCTCCCACACTAGGGATTCTAGCAAAAACAATTTAACAAGATTTCACATATAGTCCATATAGACAATGTCCAGTGTTCTGCCTCCTTCAACGTGCTTTGTCACCACCTCTTCAAAATAAAAACTGAATCAGGTTAGTGAGACAATTTTCCACGCGCAAAGTCATGTTGACTATCCCAAAGCAGTCGTTTTGTCTTTCCAAATAAATGTAAATCCTCTCCCTCAGAATCCCCTCCAACAACTTTCCCATCACTGATGTAAGGCTCGCTAGTCTACACTTCCCTGGCTTTTCTTTTCCTTTAAATAATGACACCATATTAGCCAGCGTCCAGTCTTCTGGCATCCCACCCGTGTCTGTCCATGATACAAATATCAGCAAGGTGCCTACCAATTTCTTCCCTCGCCTCCCACAAAGTTCTGGGAAATACCTGATCGGGTCCTGGGGACTTATTTACCTTTGTGCATTTTAAGACCTCCAGTGCCTCCTACTGTAATGTGGACACTTTTTATTTCAACACATGACATTATTTCCCAAGGTACTCAACTTCCATGTCCTTCTCCACAGTAAATACTGACATGAAATATTTGTTTAGTATCTCACCCATCTCCTGTGGTTCCACACATAGACGGCCATGTTGATCTTTAAGTGGCCCTATTCTGTTGTTCTCTCCCTAGTTTCTCTTTTGCCCTTAATGTACTTGTAGAATCTTTTTTTTTTTTTTTGTTTCTCCTTAACTCTTTTTTTTAAAAATTTTTTCTTTTTCCCTTTTTTTTTTTTTTTTTTTTTTTTTGCCCTCCTAATTTCCCTCAAGTATACTTCTGTCCTTTAGACGACTCTGGGGATTCACACAATCCCAACTGTCTATACCTGACATATGCCTCCTTTTTTTTTTTTCTTGATGAGAGCTTCAATTTCTTTAGTCATCCAGTATTTTCTACACCTGCCAGCCTTTCTGTTCACACTAGCAGGAACATACGGTCTCTGATCTCTCATTTTTAAAGGCCTCCCACTTCCCAGCTGTCTGTCTGTCTCTCTCTCCTTCCTCCCTGTGTTTTGGGCAATATGCATCCATCACCAATACAGTCAAAAACAAGTGGCTGGGCCATGACTTTTGCTGTTAATGTGATGTTCTGGTGTGTGCTAATGGCATACTTGCCTGTGCCTATTTGTGATAGTGACTATATATCCAAAAGTATCCTATTCCGCACCATCACCTGCTCAACGTGACCCATGTTCTCGATTACTGACAACATCTCTTCCCAACCACATTCAAATTAAAATGTTCACTCTCATGTTTTGTCATTTTGACCTCTCCTGTAACTATCTCTGTACATATCCTGTAGCCCTACAAACCCCAAATATAATTGAAGCTCAAATGACAATGAGGTTGGTGATGCTCAAAAGTTGTAATGAAGAAGGGCCTTCAACGTGTTGATTTCTCCTCTTCTTCTGCTTTCTCATCACAGTATCTGATTTGTTTATTGCATAAGTTTGTTATCCTGATGCTCTGTTCCAGCTGCTTAATTATTAACTGTAAGGAAATACTTCCTGACTTCTGCACTGAATTTGGCCTCGAGAACTCTGAACCTGTGCTGTTACGGAGCTCTGGAGTATAGTGAGTTTGTTCCTTTTCTGTATCCAATCTCCTTGTATTTAATCTGGTCTTTTTAAGCTGGCAAGTTCTAGTTTATCTAATTGTTTGGCAAGGACTTCATTTTCTAATGTTGTTGCTCTGAAAGTCACTATCTTAATCCTGAGTGGGTGGTCTGAACAAGGCACTATATAGGTTTCAGAATAAGTTTGACTGTTTGAACACAAGATTTAGTAACACTACACTACACTGTCCTATTTTAATGCTGATTCCAACTTTTTTGGAATTGGCAACCAACAAATATATAATTATGTTTTGGCAAGATCTGCCCCAAGTATGTGGTGTCTGTCTATTATTCATAGTTTCACTTAAGCAATAGCATTAGTACTAATTTTGCCTTGTACTCACTAGTCCAATTGCATGTAGTTCCTTTTTGGTTAGGTTTTACCTGCATCCTTTGACTCTACAGTCTTTGTACATTTATAAGGTAATGAGCTGCTCAACCATTTGCATACAGAGTCTAGGTGTTTGATTTAAGAATCCCAATATCTCAAATGGTCCCCCCAGATTGCTCAAATGTCTGCGCTTTCAGCTTCCCACAGTGCCCTTCCTTCAGCCTGTACTTTGGATGTGAAATGGAACTCGGTGGTAGTATATCTAGATGTTTAAATATCATTTATAAATGACCGGGAACTATTTTCCAGGAAACAACTGTGTTCCAGGAGGGCCACCTTCAGTGCTGTACTGGAGAGTCAGGGTTGCACGGAAACTCTCACCTGCTGAAGTAATCTCCTAGCCAGCATGGTAAATTGGATTTAAAAACAAAAAGCTCTAAGATTTGCAAGCAGTAACAAAAGATTTTGGCTGGTGGATCATGTGAGGGAACTTGATCTGATCAGAGGCATGGATGTTGATTGGCGCATTCAAGTTGCAGCAGTTTCTCACCTAGGCAGTGTTTAGTGACCAGGAACACAGGCTACGGCTGGTTGTGGACACCAGTTGAAACACATCTACGTCCTGCACAATGAGGCAGGCTTAACTGATGGAAAGAGAACAGGAGGCTACCCTTCAAGGTGAAATTCTTGCTGCTTTGCAGCATTAGAGATGACGCACAGTGACCGCAGCTGGTTAGCGGGTGAGAGCTAACCTGGGATTGGTGTATATTCTAGGCATGGAGGCTGCAGCAAAGGCTTGGGCAATGCTGCGCTGTCCCTCACCACTGATTCCCTGCCACCCCCTCTGCAACTACCCCCTCACTTTTAAACATGGTGACACTAATATCAATCTCGTTCTCTAAAGTACACACCAAAAAATAATATCATGATGTAGCAAAAATAATCAAAGCAGAAACCATTTTGCCAGTTTGGAAATAAACAGTTTATTCTTTTGATAATTGGCATAAACGGTCATATAATAAAGCTGTCACCGCAACTATTTTCCTTCAACTGCCCTTTTCCCCAGACTCCTGCTGTTGGTTGTTCAAAATGTCAATCATCATGGAGCCCTACCTTCTCAAGACCTTTGAGTTCTGGTTTTGACTTTGAAAATTTTGGTCCCATTGCTATACCTCCTCTTCCCTTTTTGTTTCTATCCCCATTTTTGCACATTGTCTGATCCGTTATTTTCTCCAAAGGCTGGCATAGTTGGGCAGCTGGAAGATTTTATAAAAAAAAAAAACAACTTGTAAATCTCAAACCAAAAACCGAATCCCCCTCCATCCTGTCCATTTTCAAGTTTGAACTCAAACATGGGAATATGCAACTGATCTGCTCAGAGGAGGATTGGTCAGTCAAACCTTTTTTGGAGGTTACATGCCCATGCCCTTTTTTTTTTTTTTTTTGAGATTTGAGATTCTTGCAGTTTAATTCAAGACTGAGCACCCAGGACCCAGGTGACCTGGCATGTAAAAGGAGATGAAAAGGCAGAATCCAAGTGCATTTACAGCACTACATGTGGGCATGGACAAATGAGGAATGATTCCCACTGGACCAAAGAATATATTTCTTCACACATCCTGCAGTTACCCATCATCCTTGAATCTCACTCTTGATGTTGGATGGTAAATCAGCTCTTATAAAACATTAAGAAAACCCTGTGTTTCCCTGTGTTTCATTTCTCCATGATGTGGTCAGTCCAAACTTCCGACCTTTTTTTATTCAACAATCTTTTTCATTTCATTCCAAACATATGGTCAGCTGGGAGCTGAATTGGTTGCGATAAATCTCAGCCTTCTGTTTTAGTGTTTACTGCAGTATTTCATTCTTAATCATTACATTAAATGTAATGTCTGCTCGAAGCCCCAATGGAAGATAAAGACCTTTGCGCTGATCAAAGTAGTGGGTTGGATATCCTTACTTGCCAGAATGTAGACAGAGGTATGGAGAGTCAAAAGGACAATCAACTGGCTAACAATAAAGCTTTGAAGTAAAGTCCACATTGGACTCAGTGTTAACTCTCTTCCTCTTCTCAGGTGCTACCAGATTTGTCAAGTTTCTCCAGTAATTGCTGCTTTCATTTCCCATTTCCATTGCATGCAGCACTTTTTGTTTTAAACCTAAAAATCTTACTCTGCACTTGACAGCAGTTTGCAAACTGAGTGGGATTGTCCAATCTAGAAGACCAAACTAGTGGAACAGAAACTACAATCTAAAATGGAGATGAGGTGGATCACCGTTTTTAATGAGGTTGGAATCTTTGACTAGTTTTGCTCCTTATGTCATCTGTTGAACACTTTTTTTTATTTTTTGCAGAATTTATTTCAATTAAATTCAATGACTTAAATTTGTGCCAAACGTTTTTCAAACCCTTGTCTCCTGGACTCTTCTTGATGTATGCTTCTTTACAATTTACAAATGTACAGCAGTGTAATTAGTTTGGAAGAGTATTGAGGAAACAATATGGTTAAACTAATGCCCTAAGAGTTATTCCAGTATCAGGCCACAAGATTGGTTGCCACTTCTAGAGGATGACTCTAGACTGGAGAACAAATAACACTTTCAATGTAGTTACAGTCAGGACTGTGGTAAACTCAGTATTCACTGCACAGACACAACTTATATTTCAATTTTATCACTTTACGCCACCTACAATCCAACACCACAACTGAAGAGATATTTCCCTCCCCACCCCATCCGCCTTTCGTAGGGACCACTCTTCCTCTGACTCCCTCGTCCGCTCCACACTCCCCACTAACCCCAGTACCTTTTCCCTGCAACAGCAGGAAGTGCTACACCTGCCACTACAAGCCCCCCGCCCCATCTCCATTCAATGCCCAAAACACACCTTTCATATCAGACAGGGGTTCACCTGCACATCCTCCAACTTGGTCTACTGTATCCACTGCTCGTGATGTGGCCTTCTCCACATCGGGCAGACTTTCATAGAGCTTCTGCGCTCTGTTCACGACAAACGACAACACCTGATTGCCAACCATTTTAACTCCCACCCCTGGGTGACATGTCCATCCTGGGCTGCCTCCAGGGCCACAATGACCCCACGTGCAAACTGGAGGAGCAACACCTCACATTCTGCCTTGGGAGCCTACAGCCCAACGGTCTAAACATGGAATTCCACCACTTTTAAAATATCCCCACCCCCGGCCTCCTCCCATGTCCAATCCTCCTTCTCATCCTGGTCTCCTTGACTTGACACAACCTGTCCATCTCTCCCACCTATCTGCCCCACCATCCCAATGACCAATCCCCACCACTCCCTAAATAAAAACCGAAAGAACTGCAGATGCTGTAAATCGGGAACAAAAATAAAGTTGCTGGAAAACCTCGGCAGGTCTGGCAGCATCTGTGAAGAAAACAAATCGGTTACTGTTTCGGGTCCGGTGACCTCAGTTCTGAGGAAAGGTCACCGAACCCGAAAAATTAACTCTGATTTGTTTTCTTCACAGATGCTGCTAGACTTGCTGAGCTTTTCCAGCAACTTCTGTTTTTGTCCCACCACTCCCCACATGCACTCACCTATCACTATTCCATCTCCCTTCCCCAGCCCCACCCCCCTCTTTTTTTTTCTCTTTATTTCTGAGCTCCCTTCCCCCTCCCCTTCTTCTGAAGAAGGGTCCTGACCTGAAACATCAACTTTCCTGCACCTCTGCTGCTTGGCCTGTTGTGTTCCTCCAGCTCCACACTGCGTTGTCTCTAACTCCAGCATCTGCAGTTCTTGCTATCTCTGAAATATAAACTTTCCAGTATTTTAAACTGCACCTGAGTATTGTAAAATTTAAATAGACATCTTGTATTGCTTACTGCATTATTTCATGTATTAATCTGATTTTGGAATATCTTCATACAAATGGATTAAAAGGAATGCAAAGATTTTTTGATGGCTGAATATGAAATGCAAATGATAGCAAAATCTCATTAAACTTGGATAAGTGTGTTGTTCAATATAAGAACAAACTGTTTAATTCATTCTAACTGATTCAAATAATTTCTTCCAGTTTCTTTGTCCCTGTACATGTAAATTAAGGGCTAGTGGATTGTTTGTCGTTATGGCACCAAAGGACGCTTTCAGCCCTGCGAGTCCTGGCCAGCTCCCCATAAAGCCATTTATTTAGGGCCATTTTTGCTCAAGTGCCCGTTCCATTCCTTTTTGAAACTTTTATGCATTGTCTCTATGCTACTAAATTGATGTGACCATTTTTTTTTTTAGTTGTCTTCCCCTCTTTTGAAGGACTTGACTCTTTTCTGTAGTACTGTTTTTGGGTGTCATCCAATACCTTGAGAGCTGTGAGTGACCTTCAGCAGGCTACATGATTTCAGTGAAGTAGTGAAGTCACTGTTCAATTTGAATTCTTTTTGCCTGATGTTTGCTGATGGATGCATTCATCACATGGTGATTCTGAGCTGGATTTTCCCTGAAATTCAGGGGTACTAAGGGTATGCTGTCCCTATTCTCATTCCAAATAAATGAGGAAACTCCGCACAGAGTGGGGATTAAATCTAGAATCTTTGTTTGCGCTTCTCTGTTAAGCATTAACTAATGCCACTGAACCATCACAGAAAGACTGCATTGCTTAAGCAATAAAATATTCTAGTTACAAAGATTTGCAAATTCTCTTGTCACTTTACTGTGAATTAAAGCTAGAATACAGTGCTTTTGATGGAGATTGCAGTTGTTTGTTCTGTAATTAATTGGAATGTCAAGTGAACATTTTGAATAAAAATCCATAAGTTATTAATCGTCAAGTTACTTGATTATTTGTCATGGCTTTTCAATACAGATGTTATTTCCATAGCCTTTTTTATTGTTGTTGACACTCTGGTTGCATATTTCCACCATAACTTGTTGATTTGCACACATTCAAAACCAAGAACTATTTTCTTAATTCTAAAATCTGTGCCTTGATTTTTTTTGATATTGTGTAATGGATTTGGACTTGTAGAATGAGGGCAGTAAGATCAGGTGCCAAATTTTGAGGTGATTGGTAAGAGTTCAGCTATCCTTATCTGTTCAAGTAGCAGGTTGTACTTGAGATATGTTTGTACATTCAGAAACACTCAATGCTATTACTTAGATGTGAGAAGAATGCATAGTCAATAGGAGCAGAATGAGCCATTTGGTCCCCTGAGCTTTCTGCACCATTCAATAAGATCATGATCTTTGTTATTCATTTATGGGATGTGAGTGTTACTGGCTGGGCCAAAATTTATAGCCCTTGAAGGTGATTGTGAGCTATTGTATGTAGCCCATTTGCTGTAGGTAGACTTGCAATATTGTTGAGGAGGGAACTCTCAGGATTTTGAACCAGTTTTGACATTGAAGGAATGATATATTTCCAAGTCTGGATGGTGAATGGTTGAGAGGAACATGCAGATGGTGGTGTTCCCATGTATCTGCTGCCCTTGTCCTTCTAGGTGGTAGTGGTTGTGGGTTCGGAAGGTACTGTCTAAGGAGTCTTGGTGAATTTCCGCAGTGTATCTTGAAATGGTACACTCTGCTATTACTGACTGTGGTGGAGGGAGTGAATATTTGTGGATATAGTACCAATCAATCAGGCTGCTTTGACTTGGGTGGTATCGAGCTTGTTGGTGTCAAGTGTGTTGTTGAAGCTGCTCTCACTCTGGCAAATGTGGAGCATTACATCACATTCCTAAC